ATAGGAGAGGGACGTGTGGGAGTGCTTCAGCAGAAGAGAAAATGGATTCGGTGCGGGCTCTTTGGGCGGGGATGTGCGTTTTTGGCGAGATGGATGGCTCACGGTGCCCTCACCGTGATGCAGCACAATGCAGCAGTATCGCAGCCTCTGGGCTTCTCGCCGGCGGGGCTTGGCACAGCCACCCGGAGCCTGCGGGCCCCGCCCGGCCCCACCCAGGCCCAGGGCAGCCCTTGGCCTCTACCTTGTCATGCTGCTGTGGCGAGATGTGGCGTTGGGAGGAGCAGGTCACCTAGGGTGTGTTGGGGGTGGGGGGGACTTTCGCTTTGGGGGCGACTCTTCCTGCCCCGCCTGTTGGCTCTGGGGGACCGAGGCGCGCCCTGCAGCACTGATGCAGGCCAAAGCAGCTGGCCTGCGGATGCGGGCGGGAGTCTGATGCTAAGGAGGGATCAGCGCTGCAGGGAGGGGCTGCAGAAGGACGCGACCCAGCGGTGTACAGAGGCCATGGTACATTCGCTGTGGATTCTCAGCTTTTCTGTGCATCGCCCATAAACCAGATAGGCATTAATTCCATCATTTGTGAAAAGTTGGTGCTTATTAATTAGATCATCACAGGCATGACGTTGTAATTCCTTGTCTATCTTTGGTCATTACTGAAAATGTATTTTCCCCCCTAGGAAACCATCTTTGAAGTGAAATGATTTTTCATTTCAGATCATATGCTCCTGAAAGCATTTATTAAAATATAGTATTCCAGTGGTTCTAAGAAAATATTACGTGATTCTTTTAACCTGTTTTTTTTAATCTGATTTTTCTGTATGCCAAGTACTATTATTTATTTTGACTTTCTATTAAGGGTTTGTTGATAAATGTCATGATTGATAACAAATTAGTTGACTTCAAAACCAGACTTGTAGGTATATTTTCATAGGTGTTGCTGGGGACGGGTTGAGGCCTCTGCTGTTGGTATCTGGTGAGGAAATGGTTCCCAGTACCATTTAAGTCCCCACTGGTACAAGGAGATGTCCCTTTAAGCTGCCATTTCTGTATTTCGTTTATGAGGTATAAGGTGGGATAAATTTCAAATGTCACCCCAGGCTGTCCTAAAATGTAAACATGAAGGCAGACTTCATATACTAACTGGAAGTTTAGCCTTTCAAAGCCAAGGGTGAGCCTGCTTTTGTTTTATTTTTAATCTCCGATGAATCTGTTAGTGCAGAGTAGAACAGCTTGTAGTCTGTGTGTGTGTGGGTGTGGTATGGTGTGTTGTGTTGTAAGTTTGGTGTGTGTGTGGGGTGTGTGTGGGGGGGTGTGGTGTGTTGTGTGGTAAGTTTGGTGTGTGTGTGGTATGGGGTGTGTGTGTGTGTGTGGTGTCTGTGTATGTGGGTGGTGTCTATGGTGTGTATGTGGTGTGTGTGTGGGGGGGTGTAATAAGTGTGTGGTATCTGTGTGGTGTGTGGTGTCTGTGTATGGGTATGGTGTTTGTGGTGTGTGTGTGTGTGGTATGGTAAGTGTGTGGTATCTGTATGTGTGGTGTCTGTGTTGTGTATGTGTGGTGTGTGGTGTCTGGTATGTGTGTGGTATGGTGTGTGGTGTGTGTGTGGTGTGGTAAGTGTGTGGTGTGTGGTCTCTGTGGTGTGTGTATGTAGGGTGTGCATGTATAGTGTCTGTGGTTGGTTGGTGTGTGTGTGTGTGTGTGTGTGTGTGTGTGTGTGTGATAAGTGTGCATATGGAGAGTACAGGGCAACTTACTGGAGCCAATTGTTTCCGTACATTATCTGGAGCCCTTCATACTTAAGGGCTATTCAAAGATGGGACTTTGGATTTGAGCTTCACGGCTGTGCTGGCTGCCTAAAACTGTGCTGCATAAAGATTTTTTGAGTATTATGTGCATGGGTTATGCAGACATTTTGGATTTACTATGTTGTAAAAAATACCGTATTGATGTCACAGGAGGTTTAGCTGTTCTAACTTACACAGCAGCTGCAGAACTCTGTTGGGTTAAGCACTTTGTAACTGTCACCTCTGCAGTGACCCAAAAACTTCATCTGCAGTAATGAAAAGTATTAGGGCGGGGAAAGCACTATGCCTAGGTCATCTTTCATTGCAAGGGGAGAGGACCTCTGTGGTGTTGTAGAGAGCATCCTGAGCAAAAACCTGACACCAGCGGTGTCTTTGGCAAGTTTGCTTCTTTTATCCTGATGTAAGAAAGTGTGATTTTCCATGTGGAGGTACTATTTTGAGAAAGAAGGACTTTACTACAAAACACATTTAGCTAAACATGAAGGGCAATCACTTGGTGTTTTTGGTTTTGTTTCTGGTTGGGTTTTGTTGTTGTTAAAATAATTTTGAACTTTTCATTTTAAGATCCTATTTTGTACTTAGTTGTTTTTAAGACAGGATCCACTGATCTAAAATTCAAGGGCTTAAGTGACCCTCCTGCTGCCTGGCTAAAGAGTGTATTTTTAGTGATAACCTTACAGGCCAAGTTTATTGTTAGTATTTCTGTTAACTTACTGACTTTTGTGCTCAGCGTTGATACTCCTTTAATTAGGTTGAGCCCTAACCAACAGCATTCTTTTAGTGGCCTTTTCTACTATTCTGTAGATTTCCTTGTGTAGACTTGGGTCCTTCAATACTTTACAGGTATGCAGAGGACAGAGCCAGGGTCTCAGCTAAAAAAAACTACTACTGTAGCTCAGAGGGCTCCTCTTGTAAGCTTTCTTTACTATGCATATTACCCAGCACTTTTTCTTCAAAAAGACCAAGTGTAATTCTCTGATTTTTCTTGGCATGTTATGTCATGTTCAACCTTATATAGTACAAGAATAACATTTTTTGTAACTAATAAGTAACTACTACAATTGGAAAGACATATATTTTCTATTTTAAAACATCATGTTCAGGGATTGAGTCATGGTCCAGTGGTTAAGTATCCACTGCTCTAACTAAGGACCATTTGAGTTTGGTTCCAGCACCCAAGTTAGGCAGCTCACAATTACCTGTAACTCCAATCCAGGGAATCTGACTTCATGGGCACAAATACACACAACAAGCTTGGGTGCGTGCGTGCGTGCGTGCGTGCGTGCGTGCGTGCGTGCGTGCGTGCGTGCGTGCGTGCGTGCGTGCGTGCGTGCGTGCGTGCGTGCGTGCGTGCGTGTCTGTCTGTCTGTCTGTGTGCGCGCACACAGACACCTACACCCATCATCTTTGGAAAAAGACACTTGGATATCATTCATTTATGGAACACTGTTACTAGAATCCCTCAGTTGCTTGTTATTGCATCTGCAGGAGTCCACTCCAGAACACTTCCCAGTCAATCTGCATTTTAAAAAAATGCACAAAATGTTTGAAAACTCAGTTAAGGAACTCTGCCCTGCTCTTTCAAAATACCAAAAGCTTCCAGTGGGTGAAGGCACCAACCTGACAACCCGATTCCTATTTCCCAAGCCCATGTCATAGTGAAAGGAGAGAACAGACCCACAAAGTTGTCCTCTGCCCTTCATAATGTACATGGTGACATGCCCTCCCATCATGCACACATACAGACGAGAGGAAAATGAACTTTTAAATTTTCTAAGTATCTCTGGGCATGTGTATGCACATATGTGTGTTTCTTGTCACTAGATGGAGAAATCTGGATAGTCCTATTATTGATTATCTAGATTAATCGGTGTTTTATGTTACTTCCTAAAATACTTCTGAAGTTTAAAAATCAATGCTAGCTGAGCAGGGCTTTGAGAAAGTGGGCTGGAGCCTGGAGAGCTCAGACCCTCTGCACTCTCTGCATGTAGTCCTGGGCTCCATTCTTCCCTTAGAACTGTTTTTCCCAAATTAGTATTGATTATTGAGTAGTGGACACAAAAATAGTTTTTTCTCAAATATATCTTTTTTGTTGGTTTTGTTTTGGTCAGGAGGGCATTCCAGTGAATACTGAATCCACCCCTAGTTTATTTTTTATAGCCCCTTTATACCCCAAGCCCAAGCTCAAATATATCTTAAAGAA